TCTCATTCTTTTTCTGTACGACTTCTGTTTTTATAAGCTCCCACCTTTCTGGAACTTGAATATACCTGGCAGTATTTGATTTAAAAAGATATGTGTAGTTAATGTGCCTCTATTTCTTTTCAATGAGGTTTTAAAATACAGGATACTATTTTCCCTATATTGTTCTTTAAAATGTCCTGTAATCAGTTCTCACTAATAAAATACATTTATATTAGGTAAAATCTGACCAGTGAGTGGTTTACTAAATAAATACCTTCCTTGCACACGTGAACATGCTTCGAGAAAATTAAAAAGGCTTCTACAGGCAGTTTATGGTGTTGACATCATGAACTTTAGGCTTTAGTACAGAGACCTGTGATTTCAAGTAATTTTTTATCTTTTAGGAATTTTTCTTTATAGCAAAAGCTTAGTTTATGTGTACCTTTTAATGCCTCTAGCAACTGATGCTTATTTATATGAATCTAATGAAAATGATTTCATTTTAAAATGGCAGCATTTAACAAAAAATATATATGGTTAGGACTGTTGTTTTTCCTATAAGCCCTTAGAGTGTGGAGGTGGTTTCTGTGCACTTTCTCGCCAAGATCTCTCCATATTAGGAAGTGATTATTATCCATGAATTATGGCTTAATTCATACTAAGTTACATTATTAATTGAAGATAGATCTTTTTGCTTTGCTGATACTGTAGGTGTTAGTGGATAATAGTGTTGACTAGCATCCCTAGTGTGAAAGAGTTGTCAAACTTGAAATATTTTTGTAAAAACCAACGTGATTTCCATTTAATTTAGTCCTTTAGTAGCCATAATCAAGGTAGAAAAATAGGAGCCCTTATATTTGAAGGACTTCAATTTTCCAGGCACTTATCTCATCATCTCATTTAATCCTTTCTCACAGCTGGAGGTGGGGGCAATTCATATGTATAGAAGGTAGATTCTAATTCCATTTAGACAGTATAGAAAGCTTTACTGTAATGATTGCAGTATAGACAAAACAGATTTTTTTTTTTGAGATGGAGTCTTGCTCTGTCGCCAGGCTGGAGTGCAATGGCACAATCTCGGCTCACTGCAGCCTCTGCCTACCGGGTTTAATGGATTCTCCTGCCTACAACCTCCCAAGTAGCTGGGACTACTGGTGTGCGCCACCATGCCCAGCTAATTTTTGTATTTTTAGTAAGATGGGGATTTCACCATGTTGACTAGGATGGTCTTGATCTCTTGACATCGTGATCCAGCCGCCTCAGCCTCGAAAAGTGCTGGGATTATAGGCGAGCCACTGTGCCCAGCCACAATTTTTAATTTTTAACTTTTTAATATAAAAATTATTTTTATCTGATCTTACAATCTTTAGTATTAGTCCCCCCCTCCCTTTTTTTTGATACAGGTCTTGCTCTGTCGTTGGAATGCAGTGGCAGGATCATGGCTCACTGTAGCCTCATCCTCCTCAGGCTCAAGAGAGCCTCCCATCTCAGCCTCCCAAGTAGCTAGGACTGTAGGCATGTGCCACCATGCCATGCCTGGCTAATTAGAGAAACTTTTTTTTTTTTTTTGGTTGAGATGGTGGTCCCCCCGTGTGGCCCAGGCTGGTCATGAACTCCTGGGCTCAAGTAATCCTCCTGCCTCAGCCTCCCAAAGTGCTGGGATTACAGGTGTAAGCCAGCATGCCTGGCCCTTATCCTATTTTTTGATATGAATTCTTAATTTTCTTTATTTTTATTTAATTTACTATCTGTGGACATTTATATTTTGACACCTTTCACTGAAGTATAATATTTATACTAATGGCTATAATGTCTCCTTTTTTTTTTGAAACATAGTTTTACCATTGTTTCCCAGGCTGGAGTGCAGTGGCATGATCTCAGCTCACTGCAACCTCTGCTTCCCAGGTTCAAGCAATTTTCCCACCTCAGCCTTCTGAGTAGCTGGGATTATAGGCATGTGCCACCATGTCTGGCTAATTTTTTTTTTTTGAGATGGAGTCTTGCTCTGTCACCAGGCTGGAGTACAGTGGTGCAATCTCGGCTCGCTGCAACCTCCGCCTCCTGGGTTCCACCTCAGCTACTCGAGTAGCTGGGACCACAGGCACATGCCACCATGCCTGGCTAATTTTGATATTTTTAATAGAGATGGGGTTTTTCCTTGTTGGTCAGGCTGGTCTCGAACTCCCAACCTCAGGTGATCTGTCTGCTTTGGCGTCCCAAAGTGCTGGGAAATCACAGGCTTGAGCCACTGTTCCAGGCCTTGTTTTTTTTTTTTTGTTTGTTTGTTTTGTTTTTAAATGAGATGGATCTCGCTTTGTTGCCCAGGCTGGAGTGCAGTGGTGCAATCACATCTCGCTGCAACCTTGACCTCCCTGGGTCAGGCAGTCCTACCTCACCTCCAGAGTAGCTGAGACCACAGGTAGCTGCCACCACGCATAAGTAATTTTTAATTTTTGTAGAGACAGGATGTCCATTTTTTGCTCAGGCAGGTCTCAAACTTCTGGGCTCAAGGATCCTCCCCTCAAGCTGAGCCTCCTAAAGTGCTGGGATTATAGTTGTGAGTCACTGTATACTGTATGTCTTTTTTTTAATTCATATTTTTCCCAGTTAATTTACAGGGACATTTCATTTGAACCACTGCCTTATCTTTTCTAAAACAAAGTCAAGATCAAGTTCTTATTAAGCACTTATTATCAGCATGTCTCTGTGGTAGATACAGCATGGGTATTGGTATGTTGTGAACTGAATCTAGAAGTTGGAAATAATTTTTTAAAAAGTAAGATTAAAAAAATAAATAAAAAGTAAGATTTGAATATTTTCCATATGTAGAAGGTGGAATTTGTATTTGGGCTAGTGGTTTGTATAACTACATTAAAAATGTGTATAAAACATAAAACTACCTGAATTAATTTCGTTTAAAGCACAAATGATTTTTAATGTCTCAGTTAATAATATCTTATGGGTGCTTAGTTTTGTATATTGTCAAGAAGGATCTGGTAACTAGGATGTGATTTCTAAGAAGATGTCTGTAAGGAAGAGATAAAGTAGAAGATCTGTCCCAGGATGTCTCTTATTTGTAAGTAAGGTAACTGGGACTTTTTTTTTTTTTTCCCAAAAGGATCTTGTTTTAAAAAGACAGTTATTTTGTAATTAATGTCTGGGTTTCATATAAGAATTAACCATATGATTTATATTTTCATTTTTCATTATCCTTTTAGTTTTACAATACAGAACATAGTAATAGAGTATCAAGGTATTAGGAATGAGTAAGATTTGACTGTGTATATCAAATGCCTGGGGCATTTTATTTATTTATTTATTTCTGTCACCATGGCAGAACAGAATGCCTGAGGCACATAGTAAAATTCACGAATGTATCCTTTTTCCTCCCAGATGTATATCTAGTTAGGTTTCTGAATAGTATGTATTTTAAAAGAGAAATTCTAAAGATAACTTAATATTCACCTGTTTTTTGTAGCCACTTGTTCTTAATTAGGAAATGAATTCTGAAATAGCTTTGTAATTATTGTTCACTGATGGATTTATTTGCTGTTTTAAGAAATACTATTAGCTTTTGAGCATCTATACTTTTTATGTTTACCACATATTTTATATATGTAAAATTGTATAATTTTTAAAGGTGTCTTTGAATTGAAAGTTACTATGGCAGGTGAGAAGTGAAATACTTCTTGGCATTTTTCTTTCATATGTAAGACACGAAATATTTACTTTGATGTTTTAAAAATTAATTGTTTAAAAATAATCCATTAATCAGAATTGCTTTTGTTTAAATAAATTTATTTGGCCATGATCATTTAGAATCGCCATAGACATAGAAAGTCATTTCTCTTCTGTTTTTTTCAGCTCCGAAATGGTTATTTTCATGATTTCTCACTTAAATTTAAATAATTAAGAAAAATAAACTTACAGGCTTCTTGGCAAGAGGTTAGAGCCCCTACCAGGAAGTAGCAGCCTTAGACTTTCAAAGTGAAGGCTTAGTATTTGCTCTTCCTGTTCTTTGGATAGCCAAAGTGGCATTTCCGTTATTTTGTGTTCTGTCTTAGTATGTTCCTAAACGGCTTTATAGTTCTCTAGAGAATCAAAATTTTGGACTTGACCTTTTAGAATTTTATATGTTCATTGTATATATGATTCTTTTTATGGAAAATCATTTTGGGCAGTTAACTGCTATTTCTTTAAAAGAGAATCTTTTTTTTTTTTTTTTTTGAGACAGAGTTTTGCTTTTGTTGCCCAAACATGAGTGCAATGGCAAGATCTTGGCTCAATGCAACCTCTGCCTCCTAGGTTCAAGCGATTCTTCTGCCTAAGCCTCCTGAGTAGCTGGGATTACAGGATGTATGCCATCACGCCTGGCTAATTTTTTGTATTTGTAGTAGAAATGGGTTTTCGCCATGTTAGCCAGGTTGATCTCGAACTCCTGACCTCAGGCTATCCACCCGCCTCGGCCTCCCAGAGTGCTGGGATTACAGGCATGAGTCACTGCGCCTGGCCAGAGTTCACTCTTGGAGTTTGTATATTCTATGAGTTTGGACAGTTGTATGACATATATCCACTATTGTAGGGGTACAGTATTTATTTGCCCTGAAATACTCAGTGCTCCACGTAGTCATCCCTCCTCTCTCCCAACCACTGACAATTGCTATTTTTTTTAACTGTCTCCATAGTTTTGCCTTTTCAAGAATGTCATAGTTGGAATCAAACAGTCTATAGCCTTCAAATTGTTTTTTCATGTGGTAATATGCATTTATGATTTCCTCAGTGGCTTTTCCTGGTTTGACAACTTGCTTATTTATTTATTTATTTTTAGCACTTGACTATTATCTGGATATATCAGAGTTTGTTTGTCCATTTACTTACTGAAGGACATCTTGGTTGCTCTCCAGTTTTGGCAATTGTGAATAAAGCTGTTGTAAACATCTGTGTACATGTCTTCTGTGTGGACATGTTTTCAGTTTGTTGGTAAATACCAAGGAACACAGTTGCTGGATCATATGGTAAGAGTACCTTTAGTTTTCAAGAAACCTCTAAACTGTCTTTCAAAGTGATTGTACCATTTTATATTCCCACCAGTAATGCATGGGAGTTAGTGTTCACATTCTCACCAGCATTTGATATTATCACTGTTTGGATTTTGGCATCTATGTTTATGGTGATTTGAAGAAGAAAACAGAAGAGAAATGACTTTTTATGTCTATGTGATTTGAGATCACATAGACATAGTTTGAATAACAGCTCTTTATCAAATGTATCATTTTTCTCTTTTTTTTTGAGATGGAGTCTCACTCTGTCACCCAGGCTGGAGTGAAGTGGTGCCATCTTGGCTCACTGCAACCTTTGCCTCCCAGTTACAAGCAATTCTTCTGCCTCATCCTCCCCAGTAGCTGGGTTTACAGGCACCCACCATCATGCCTGGCTAATTTTTGTATTTTTAGTAGAGACGGGGTTTCACCCTGTTAGCCAGGCTGGTCTTGAACTCCTGACCTCAGGTGATCCACCCACCTCAGCCTCCCAAAGTGCTGGGATTACAGGCATGAGCCATGGGTTCTGGCTATCAAATGTGTCTTTTGAAAATATTTTCTCCCAGTCTGTGCCTTGTCTTTTTCATTCTCTTGACCATGCCTTTCACGCAGCAGAATATCTTAATCTTAATGAAGTCCAGTTGAGCAGTTCTTTCTTTCATGGGTCATACCTTCATCATTGTATTTAAAAACTCATAATCAAACCCAAGGTCATCTGGATTGTCTTCTGTGTCACCATCTGGGAGTGTTACAATTTTGCATTTTACATTTAGGTCTGTGATCAATTTTGAGTTAATTTTCGTGAGTAATGTCTGTTTCCAGATTCATTTGTTTGCCTGTGGATATCTAGTTGTGCAGTACTATCTGTTGAAAAGACTATCTTTGCTGCATTGTATTGCCTTTTTCCTTTGTTGGCAGTGGTTCTTAAGGTGTGGCCCATGGACTTCTGGGGGTCCCCAATACCATTTCAGCAAGTTTTTTAGTTCAAAACTATTTTCATATACTAAGACATTATTTGCCTTTTGTATTTTTATTCTTTCACCACCGTACAGTGGAGTTTTCCAAAGGCTATATGATGTGTGATATTGCAACAGATTGAATGTAGTAGCAGATCATGAGAATTCAACTATTTCCTATCAAGCCACATACTAAAGTTTTGCTAAGCTGTGAAACAATGCCACCCTTATAAATTGTGGGTTTTTTTTTTAATGTAGTTATTTCTCAAATGAATTAATGTTGATAAATTTCTCAGTTTCAGTTTCTAACACAGTAAATATTGATAGAGAACCCCCACATAAAAGCTCTTTGGTGTCCTCAATTTTAAAAGCGTAAAGGTTCTGAGACTAAAAATACACCTTTAGGAATGCGTATGTATTAGAGGGGACAAAAGCGTACTCAAAGAGGAACTAGATTTAAGAGATATTTTGAACTCTCAGAGTAATTTTGGATTTGACTTTGTAGGTAACAGTGCCCCAACTTTTGGAAGATTTCAAGCAAGAGATGTGACATAATCTCTTAGGTCTACTTTATGTCCATAAGTAGATTGGAAGGAGTGTTCAATATGACTTGGAAAGGAAACTGCTGGGTCAAAAAAGTCTAACACTAATATCTAACTTTTTTTTCCCAATGGCCTTACAGATTAGTTGCTAATTGGAACTCTTGATTATTTGTCCTCATTTTTTCTTTAATATTAAAACTATTTTTTTTATTTTTCGGTAAGCCAGGCAGGTTAGGTATCACTTATGCCAGGTTCTTGACTACCAAATCATTAGCCTTTGCACATGTGATTCCTTGGACTAGATAGAGACGGGGTCTTGCTCTCTCACCCAAGCTGGAGTATAGTGTCATGATCATGGCTTACTGTAACTCTGCACTCCTGGGCTCAAGGGATTCCCTGGCCTCAGCCTCCTGAGTAGGTAGGACTACAGGTGTGTGCCATCCATCAAGCCCTGCTAAAGAGAAAGGGGCTCTTCCCTAGGCTGATCTCAAACTACTGGCCTTGGTTTCCCAAAGCTCTAGGATTGTAGGTGTGAGCCACCATGCTGGGCCTCTTCTAAACTTTCTTTGCCTTGCTTCCATTAATAATCACATTTACAGCAGCCTCTTTCATAAAAACATCACTGAATAACTTCCCTTGGTCCTGTCAGCCCAACATTATTCTTAAAATTTTTAAGTTTCAAATATTGTTAAACTGTAGTTGCTGTCTTTCTTTTATCTATATTGGGTGTATGCTCATTTCCTCCATGGAATAGGAACTGTGTTCTGTATTGTTCTCTGTCTCTTCAAGTGCCTAGTCAGCAACCCCATGGGTGCTCAGCAAATATTGAATGGTTATACATAACTTCCCTTCGTAGCTCAGACTATTCCATGAACAATTTATGGACATAAAAATCTATTCCAGTAGACATTTAAGGATATTTTTATGGTGAGAATGGAAATTTCCTGGTTACAAATTTATATATAGAGTCAGTAACGTTGATAAAAATGTAACAAATTACTGTTTCATGGAACTTAGGAGTCATTAAGAGGTGTTTTTTGTTTAGATACAAGATAGTGTCTTCCAAAATGTTCCTTCAAAATTTTTGTAGCTGCTCCATTTGAACACTATATTAAAATGCACATTTTTGAGGACATATTCTTAAAATTAGGAATGTAATTTTAAGAATTAAAGAGAGGACTAGAAATAGATGTGAAGTGTTTATCAGAGCTGCTTCCTTGCACGACTACAGGAGGTGCCTATCACACCTTTTTGTGTGAAAGGTACCTCCTAGAGTGTAACTACAGTAGACTCATTTTTGATATAAGACAGGATAAATAAAGCGCACGTAACAGATGATATCAAATAAAAGAAAAGAAATGTCTGTTTTAGAAGGAAGCTGTATGAGATCCGAGGCACAGGTTAGGGTGGTAGTAGCGATGGTGGTAAAAATATGATCTCTTAATCTAGATTATTACTTAATCAGTAAATTGATTCCAGGGGCTAGTGGGAATTGCTGAAAGTTTCCTTTGAACACATGGAATTTTTAGCAGTGATTTGAGAAATGGTGCTGGTATTTATAGCCATACATGAAAACATCCTAGGGAACCCAAGTCTTAATCAAGGGGCAGCTCTTCCAAGTAGTGGTTGAGGAAGTTGGGCATACTTTCCAAAACTTTTTTCCTCACTAAAGATTGCAGGTATACTCTGCAAGTGACTTCACAGGACATATTATTTTAATGTATATATTTGGTTGTCATATTTTAATGTATATATTTCTGCTGATTATAGGTCTCATGTGACTATAAGCTCTCTGAGAACAAGAGTCATGGGGGATGTGTGTGCAGTTAAAATTTTATGTGCTGATAATAGTTATCTTCTGGATGTTTAAGAAATATGAATGTGTACTGTATTTTAAATACTCTTATATGTAAACATTTTAATGTGATTTAAGTATATATCAAAAAGTAAATAGGTGGTATTCACACTGCAGAGGGATTGGCAAGTCTTTTTGATATACGTCAAATAATTGTTTGCAGAAATTTGACTCGTATTGTATTGACTACTTTGAAATATTAGTAGTTAACTAATTTAAAGCTAAGATGAAGAGGATATTTTGAAGTGAGATGATAAATATATGCAGTTGTCCTTTAGTATCCCTAGGGGATTGGATCCAGGATGCTCAAATCCCTGATGTAAAATGGCATCGTTTGCATATAACCTATGTACATCCTCGGTATACTTTATCTCTTGGTTACTTATAATACCTAATACAATATAAATGGTATGTAAACAGTTGTTACACTGTATTGTTTAGGGAGTGACAAGGGAAAAAGTCTGTACATGTTCAGTAGAGATGCGTTTTTTTTGGGTGCATGTTTTTGATTCCTGGTTGAATCATAATGGAACCCATTGATAGGAGGACTAACTGTGTGTACACACACACACAATTTCCTTTTTTTGTGGTTTTTAATTTATTTTTTTCCATTTAGAGTACGCATTTTTTTCACAGTTTTAAAATTGAGACATAATTTACATAACATAAAATTCAGTTTTAAAGTAGACAGTTCAGTGGTATTTAGTATGTTCACAGTGTTGTGTGCAACTATCACCATTATGTAACTCTAGAACATTTTCCATCACCAAGAAAGAGATCCCCTATCTGTTAGCAGTCACTCCTAAGCTCTCCCCTGACCCCTGTAACCACTAATCCACTTTCTGTCTATGAATTTTTCTTTTCTGCACGTTTCATTTTAATGGAATCATACAATATGTGGCCTTTTGTGCCTGGCTTCTTTCAGTTGTAATGTTTTAAAGATTTATCCTTGTAGCACATATCAGTACTTTATTCATTTTTATAGCTGAATAATACTCCCTTGTATGGATAACCCTCATTTCATTTATACCTTCATTAGTTGGTGGGTTGTTTAGCCATTTGGGCTATGAAGAATAATACTGTGTGAACATTCATATACAAGTTTTTGTGTGAACATATTTTCAGTTCTCTTAGGTATACTTCTAGGAGTAAAATTGCTGGGTCATACGGTAATTCTGTTTAAACTTTTCGAGGAACTACCAAACTGTTTTCCACAGCAGTGACACCATTTTATATTTCCATCAGCAATGTATAAAGGTTCCTATTTCTCATCTTCTTTCTTGCCAAACTTGTTACTTTCAGGATTTTTGGTTTTTTTGATATTTAAAAAATAGTCGTTCTGTTGGATGTGAAGTGTTACATCATTGTGATTTTGGTTTCCATTTCCCTAATAATCTCTTTATGTGCTTGTTGGCCATTTGTATATCTTAGGGAAAATATCTATTCAAGATTTTTTGCCTGTTTTACAATTCGATTTTTATGCATTCTGGGTACTAGAAGAGTACATACTTTGCATACTAGATCTTTATATGATTTGTGTTTTTTTCCCCCATTCTGTGGCTTGTCTTGTCACTTTCTTGATACAGTGTCTTTTAATGTACAAAAGTTTTAAATTTTGAAGTCTAATTGTTCTGGGATTTTTTTTTTTTTTGAGACAGAGTCTTGTTCTGTCACCCAGGCTAGAGTACAGTGCTGTGATCTTGGCTCACTGCAACTTTTGCCTCCTGGGTTCAAGCAACCATTCCATCTCAATCTGCTGAGTAGCTGGGACAACAGGCGTGTGGTACCATGCCTGGCTAAGTTTTTTGTATTTTTAGTAGAGATGGGATTTTACCATGTTGACCAGGCTGGTCTCGAACTCTTGACTTCCAGTGATTCACCTGCCTTGACCACCCAAAAAGCTGGGATTGCAGACGTGAGCTACGGTGCCCAGTCTCTGGTTTTTTTGATTGTGCTTTTGATATCATACGAAGAAATCGTGGGCTAATTCAAGGTTATGCACATTTACACCTGTTTCCTTCTAAGAGTTTTAGGAAGAAATTTTAGCTCTTAGATTTAGGATTGATCAATTTTGAGTTAACTTTTATATATGGTATGATGGAACATTTATATCCAAAGATATTTGAGTTTTTAATCTTTTGAAGTTGACATGGAATGCAGTTCTTCTACCTCTGTGTAATGTGGAGATGGAATTGTGCATGATAAAAACATTACTTGATGGCAGTCTCCAGGACTGGGCATCGTTGATGGATAACTGGAATTTTGGGTCATTGTTTTAGCCGGATGAACCACTTAATCTGATCCAGTGTATAGTTTTAATGTTCTCAAAATAAGTCTTTTAGATATATGGAGAGGTAAGAAATAGTTGCATCAATAAGTTGTTTTGGTCCACACAGAATAGTGTCATTGTATGCTCCCATAGTATATATATATATTTTTTGAAATAGAGTTTCACTCTTGTTGCCCAGACTGGAGTGCAGTGGTGCCATCTAGGCTCGCTGCAACCTCCGCCTCCTGTGTTCAAGCAATTCTCCTGCCTCAGCTGGGATTACAGATGTATACCACCTTGCCTGACTAATTTTGTATTTTAGCAGAGGTGGGGTTTCAGCATATTGGCCAAGCTGGTCTTGAACTCCCGACCTCAGGTGACTCCCCCCACATCAGCTTCCCACAGTGCTGGGATTACAGGCATGAGCCACCATACCTGGCCAATAAGCAATTTGCTAGACATGGTGGTGCATGCCAGTAATCCCAGCTAAAATGCAATACTAAAAATACAAAATTTGCTGGACGTGGTGGCGCATACCTGTAATCTCAGTTACTCTGGATGCTGAGGCGGGAGATTAACCTGGGAGTCAGAGGTCGGGGTGAGCCAAGATTGTGCTATTGCACTCCAGCCTGGGCAACAAGAGCGAAACTCTATCTCAGGGAAAAAAAAAAAAAAAGTGACACTTGATCCTTAAAAAGGAGCATGAGGTCTAATAGTAAAATGTGCAAACTAATGGAAATATATTGAGATAAATGCATAATAACTTTTTACATAAAGATCAAAGTAGGAGAGAGTAATTAACTTTGAAGGAGGTTAGTAAAGACTTCACAGAAGAGGTAACAGGTTTCTTCTAAATTAGCATAACCAGTGACATGGAGGCAAAAAAGCACATTATGGTGTGTTTGTGGAAACCTTTGAATAGTTGTCTGTGGTAGAATACAAAGTGTTAATGGGAGTAGGGGATGTGAGGCTGGAGAGAGGGAGGCCTTAAAGGAGCAGGAGTTCTCTTGATAGACTCTGGGCTCTTCAGTGTCATCTTCCATCTTCATTTTAGGGCCCCCCCTTTCTCCCATTATTAGCTGATTTACTAGCTTTAGATGACAGTACCGTGAAACTAGCAAAGTATTTTTTCCTTTTCCCATACAGTTTGTAGTGGGGTTGTTGAGAAAGGTAAGAAAGAAGGAATGCATGATTCTGTTGGCACGTGTGCAGGGGGCTAAGTATACCTTACCACCCAAAGTTGGTGTTGTTATACATAGTGTTTGGGTCTCCACATAAATAAAATCAGGTTTACTGTGAATTTATGGCTTTTGTGGACTTGTCTGGTGATTGAGCATTTTTTGAGTTCCAAATTTATGAATGAACTTAAACACAAACTATCCTACTGGGTGATAGTATGAATAAAAACAATTTGTTAAATCAGTTTAAAGTTAGTAAGAATCTTGATGGCTTGTTTGATTTAGTTAGTGACTTTTATATATCTGAAAATGATATATTGTCATGTGTGCATTTTTAAAGCTGGATCTCTACCACACAAGGCATTGTTAGTCTTGGCTGGGTGTGGTGGCTCATGCCTATAATTCCAGCACTTTGGAGGCCAAGGTAGGCAGATCAATTGAGCCCAGGAGTTTGAGACCAGCCTGGATGACGTAGTGAAACCCAATCTCTACTGAAAATATAAAAATTCACTGGGCATGGTGACACACACCTATAGTCCCAAGGCTGAAGTGGGAGGATTACTTGAGCCTGGAAGGCAGAAGTTGCAGTGAGCCGAGATCATGCCAAGCAATTCTTGCCTTGGTGACAGCAAAACCCTGTCTCAAAAAAAGGACTTTGTTGAACTTATGGAAATTAATATGCTCATTAGCATTACATACTGAGTCTTGTTAAAAGAAAACTTTAGACAAATTAAATTTAGCAGTTAATTTGAGCAAAGAAACAATTCATGAATTGGGCAGCACCCCGAAGCAGAAAAGGTTCAGAGAGCCCTGCCTAGCAATGTGGATAGTCAGTATTCATACACAGAAAAATAAGTGACATCCACACATAGCCTGATTGGTTACAGGTCCATGTTTGCCTTATTTGGACATGTCTGAGCAGTTTGCAGCTTGTGATTGACTGAAAGCTTGGCTGCTTGTTAGAAGAATATACTCAAATTAGGTTGCAGTTTTAATATACTGAAGTGCAGTTCACTGCTTATGGAAGCAGCCTTAGACCAAATTTAGTTAAGTGTCACTATTAAGGTTGCATTGAGATTATTGAGAAATCCGAGTGCAAAAACACTAATCTGTCCTCAGTTTAGTAGGGAAGATGGCATATGCAGATAGCTGTATTGCCAAACAATGTGAGATAAGTACAGATCAAGTGACATTAAAAATCAGAGGAGATACTGCTTTTGATAAGGGAAGAAAACTGGACCTTAAATGATAAATTATTAGGAGCACTAGGCATGTCAGGTGGAGGAAAGAGCATGAGCAAACACTTGTAGACAGGAAGCTGAATTTGTGAGGAACAAAGAAATGTGTTTGTAAATGGGGTGCTTTCGGATTGTGAGAGGGGGACAGGTTGGGTGCAGTGAGAAATTGAGTTGGAGCAATTCTGAGGCTAGATTGTGAAGGAAGAATGACTTAATTATATGACCTTTATATATAGCTTTTTGGCTACTGTAGGTAAAGTTGGACCATAGTTAGAGCCAGTTTTTCAAAATTACACTTTATCTGTAGTTTCTGCTGCCAGTGTGAAAACAGGAAAGGCAAGGAGTTTTGCTGATCTTGAAGCTGAGGATGAGATTTTGCTGCCTCAAGCTTTTTATATCAGCTTTATTATAGACTCAATTAATGGTGGGCAATTACTGAGATTTGGGGGATTTCTGAGTGTCTAGATTGCACAGGAATCATTGAAGAAGTCTTCTCAACAAAAGTAACATAAATCTAACTTTCATCTGAAGGTAGAAATTTTAAAAAGAAAGGAAACCTTTCATTCTTCAGGGATTCACAAAATCTGATAAAAATTGGGGAATTAGTCCATTCTCATGCTGCTGTGAAGAAATACCCAAGACTGGGTAATTTATAAAGAAAAAAGGTTTAATTGACTCACAATTCTGCGTAGCCGGGGGGGCCTCAGGAAGCTTACAATTATGGCAGAAGGGGAAGCAAATGCATGTTCTTCATATGGTTGCAGGAGAGAGAAGTGCCCCTTATAAAACCACCAGATTTCATGAGAACAGCATGGGAGAAACCAGCCACATCATTGAATTATCTCCACCTGGTCCCATCCTTCATGTGGGAATTATTACAATTCAGGGTGAGATTTGGGTGGGGACACAGAGCCAACTGTTAACAGTTGGTTTAGTTAGGATATAACGTACAAAATGGGGAGAATAGCTCACCTTTAAGGAAACCTTTCTAGGTCTTGGGCAATTGACATGCATTATTAACACAATATTTATACAAACCTATTTATCAGTAGACTTATTGGCTATTCCAGATACTTAAACTAAAACACTATTAAAAAGAAGACATAGAGAATAAATCTAACATTTAGATGGCAGTGAAGAACCTCAGCTAGAGGTCAGATAATCTGAAGGAGAGCCTCTTAGCTCACAGAAACTTACACAGAATGTGTAGATAAATAGGAGAGAGCTTTCTTTGAGAACTATAATTTCTGTAAATATGTAAGATTGCATTTTGAGATGTCAACTTCATACTTCTTCTGTTTGTTTGTTTTTGAGATGGAGTCTCACTCTGTCACCCAGGCTGGAGTGCAGTGGCCCAGTGTCAGCTCATTGCAACCTCTGCCTGCCGGGTTCAAGTGATTTTTCCTGCCTCAGCCTCCCAAGCAGCTGGGACTTCGGGCACATGCTACCATGCCCAGCTGATTTTTGTATTTTTAGTAGAGATGGGGTTTCACAATGTTGGCCAGGCTTGTCTGGAACTCTTGAGGTGATCGCCCACCTCAGTCTTCCAAAGTGCTGGGATTACATGTGTGAGCCACCATACCCGGTGCAACTTCCTATACTTCTTAAGATAAATTGTCCATATGCTTCAAGAGGAATAAGCTCTAACTGGAATATAGGGTACTGGCCCTAGCTCCTTATGACCTCATAAAAATCCATTAGTAAAATAGTTTATTTTCCAAATTGCCTTCTTTCTCTACTATTCTCTAATGCTATAATCGTGTTCCTTTAGCTTTTTGTTGTAGGCTTGGTCCTTTGGAAGTGAAGACCAGAGACAGTTTCTCTATGAGCCTTTGCTTCATTCTCCATCAGAGTGTTCTGTCCCACCTACTAGGATATCAATATTCGAAAACCAGTTGGAATTTGCATATCTTAACTATCACTGGTAGGAATAGGTGGCATTGTCTTATGTGATTTTTGTTTTAGGAGGAACTGGGTAACAAAAATGTGAATTTTCAGCCAGGTGTGGTGCTGCATCTCTGTAGTCCCAACTCCTCAGGCGGCTGAGGTGGGAGGATTTCTTGAGGCCAGTGGTTTGAGGCCAACTTGTACAACATAGCAAAACCACTATCACATATAATAATAAAAACGTATTTTTTTTCCAGTGTGTATCTTGAATGTAAAAAAAGAAAGGGAGTTTCTACCCTTATTAAAAATATGTGAATAGTAGAGACCTTTTCTCTACAAAAATTTAAAAATTAGCCAGATGCAATGGTGCATGCCTGTAGTCCCAGCTACTCAGGAGGCTGAAGTGGGCAGATCACTTGGACCCAGGAGTGTGAGGCTGCAGTGAAACATGATTGCGCCACTGCACTGCAGCCTCAGTGACAGAGCAAGTCCTTGTCTCTTAAGAAAAGAAAAAAAAACTCATTTAAAAAAAAGTAACATTGTTGGAGGGAATTAATCTTTGTGTTGTAAATATTCAAATATGATTTTACTTTAGTTGGTTCACTCGATCAGTTCAGACTGTTTATGCCAGGTTTATGAATCTGATACACGAAAAAGAGTGATAATGGTGGTATAGATCACAGTCTAAGTGACTATGCTGGCTAATTGTCTTGTATGTGTTGGCCGTTCTTCATTTTGGGTGATCAGTTGAGGGGTATAAGGATCATCACTAATCCATCACCCCATACATGCTCTACCATAGTGACATCATTCTAAAATTATTAAGTGATGAATTTATGGATAATTGCTTCGCCTTATTTTCATCTCTTAATTTTAATTCTCTAGAAACACATATAAACATAATCATTGTTGCCAGGATCCTTAATTTAATTTGCATGATGGAAGGACTGTGTTTCTTAAATTACATGTATACTGTGTATATGTTTTGTAGAACGGGGAACTGCATTTATCTGTTTAGTAGTAGAACTCTGTAATAGGTCAAGGCTGCATCAGTTTTTTTTAGATGTAATTGCTTGTACATTTTTGGCTTACAGCCTTTTGTGTACCAGTGACAAGCCATTAAGAGCCAAAAAATTTGCTTTTACTTACCGTACATCTACATCTAGTTTTGACTTATTTGTCAAAAAAGGGTGAACTTTCTTTTTGGCCTTTTTTTTTTTTCCTTTTATGACTTGAAATTAAATAAGCAACTTATTGATGTAGTGTTTTGTTTTTGTTTGTTTTTGTTTTTTGAGATAGAGTCTCACTTTGTAGCCCAGGCTGGAGTGCAGTGGCGCAACTCGCCTCACTGCAACCTCTTACCTCCCGGATTCAAGTGATTATCCTGCCTCAACCTCGCGAGTATCTGGGATTACAGGCACTCACACCATGCCCAGCTAATTTTTATATTTTTAGTAGAGACAGGGTTTTGCCACGTTGGTCAGTCTGGCCTTGAACTCCTGACCTCAGGTAATCCACCCACCTCGGCCTCCCAAAGTGCTGGGATTACAGGTGTGAGCCAATGTGCCTGGCCTGATGTGGTTTAGAATAATCTTTAGTTGGGTTCAATAATGTAGTTTTACCTAGGAAACTAGTTTTAATTGTTGTTGGTACTTTTAAAATTTTAACTTCTCTAAGTTCATCTGTCTTCAGATTGCATGTTTGGAAAGGGAGGGGCAGAATTTTGGAAGGTAGCATTTCTCTTAGATGAGTAGAAAAGAGGCCAGGGGTGGTGGCTCATGCCTGTAACCCTTGCAGTTTGGGAGGCCAAGGTGGGTGGATCACCTGAGGTCAGGACTTCAAGGCCAACATGATGAAACCCTGAGATCGCACCACTACATTCCAGCCTGGGCGACTGAGTGAGACACCATCATCTCAAAAAAAAAGAAAAAAGAAAAAAATGAATTTCACTACGTACAGTTACTGACTTTATTTCAGGTGAGCTGTCATGGGGGAATTTGTCTGGTTTTGATATGTAAGGTTGGTGTGAAGATTTATTGATATATACAAAATGGAGTGGGTTTCTCTGCAATGAATTAAAACTGAATATCCAAGAGAAAATAAGTTTACACAGTAGTTGCATTTGATCTTTTGGTATGGAACTGGAGTAAAGTTCTGGTTTGTTTTTTGTTTTTTTTGAGACAGAGGCTTATTTTGTTGCCTAGGCTAAAGTGCAGTGGAGTGATCTCAGCTCACTGCAACCTCTGTTTTCTGGGTTCCAGCGATTCTCATGCCTCAGCCTCCTGAGTAGCTGACATTCTTATGCCTCAGCCTCCCGAGTAGCTGGACATGGTGTGCACCACCATGTCCAAATAATTTTGTATTTTTAGTAGAGACACGCTTTTGCCGTGTTGGCGAGGCCGGTCTCGAACTCCTGGCATCATGTGATCCCCTGCCTCAGCCTTCCAAAATGCTGGGATTACAGGTATGAGCCACTGCACCTGGCCCTCTGGTTTTTTCTTTATGTGATCACTTTGCCTCTGTTTTCAGAATTGGAAGATATAATCACATTATCCTTATTCCCATTTGTACATTTCCTTTTTGAAGTAAAACCAGCTGTTTGATGACTGAGAAGTTAGGGTTTAGCAGACAATATTTCTCTATTTTTCTTTTCTCAACATTAGCTTTAGTAACTTTTCTTCACACAACTATGTATTTATATATTCATTATCAGGTTTGGAATTTGTGTTGGATATTAATTTAAGATCTTAGACTTTATAGAGTATTCATCTGGTTATTTGTCATTTTTGTTTGTCATATTCTTGCAAAATACTGTTTGACTTGCTGACCTAGAATGGATCAAGGCATTATCTTCAGGTAGTTTCTGTAGCCCATCCCTGAAACACTGCTTGGCATAGCTGAGTGGCAATGAAGAACAGCCATAGTTAGTAACTTAAAAATTAGCTATAGAATTGCAACTGGCAGCTAAGTTAGAAAGCTATTTATAGAGCAGCTTGGGATACTAAGATATTCCTTGACTGCCTAAAGGTGCAAGTGCAGGGAGAGAACCATTTCTTCCTATCAGGAGATTGGAAACCTTTTTTTTTTTTTGAGACAGAGTTTCGTTCCCCAGGCTAGAGTGCAATGGTGCTATCTCAGCTCACTGCAACCTCCACCTCCTGAGTTCAAGTGATTCTCCTGCCTCAGCCTCCCAAGTAGCTGGGATTACAGGTGCCTGCCACAATGCCTGGCTAATTTTTTGTAATTTTAGTAGAGATTGGGTTTCACCATGTTGACCATGCTGGTCTTGAACTCCTAACCTCAGCTGATCTGCCTGCCTCAGCCTCCCAAAGTGCTAAAATTACAGGTGTTAGCCACCACACCCAGCCTGAAACCTTTTAAGAGAGAAACTTACTAATAAGTTGCTTCCTATCCTTGGGCTTATAGACTTAGTCTAGAATTGATTTTTGTTTGACTTTCTTCATCAGAGTTATGTTTTCCTAACTTAATGACTAACTAAGAATGTGTTCCAACTTTTGAGGCCTCTTTTAACATAGTTTACCCCTTCTGCTATTACTTAGAATTGATAGTAATTACATCGGTAGGGCAAAAGATGACTGGAAAATTGCCCTATGTTTTTCTCATTAAAATCATAAAAGACCTGTTCATCTAAAATCTGGTGAGTTATTTTAGTTTGTTCTTTGACATTCTTGACTTCTTTAAACTTGCTTATAAATTAAGGCTTGCAGTTTGAGTCATTTGGAGACGGGGAATGCCCAGAACTTTTGAAGTTTGTGAACTTGAGTTGAATATTGTGTCTCTTTCCTCATATTCTGTCAACTTTAGTTCACTATAGCCACAATGAAGATGATGATGCCAATGAGGATATACAAAACCAGACAAGATGTGGCCTACCATATATGCTAGAATTAGATTTGTGAGAACTAAACACAACACTGAATTTGTGAGCATGTGTGGAGTTTAGAGTAATTAGAGGAAGTGATAACAAGTCTCACTCAGACCACATGGAAATTGGGGGAGAGTTTGTATGTGTAGTGTATGTGTATCTTCATCTATCCCGCTAGTAGAAAGGTTACTGTTTGAAAAATGTAGTTCCAACACAGCCACTAGTTTGTGCTGCTTTAAACAAGTATTTAAATCTTTACAACAGAGATAATTATAACAGAGCATTCCTTGCCTTGTAACAAGGCTGTTGGTACAATTGGAAGACTAGGGGTATGAACGAATTTTGTAATCTATAAAGAAATCTTGGCCAGGCATGGTGGCTCATGCCTGTAATCTGAGCACTTTGGGAGGCGGAAGCAGGAGGATCACTTAAGGCCAGGAGTTTGAGACCTGCCTGGGCAACATACTGAGACCTTGTAGCTACAGAAATTTTAAAAATTAGCTGGATGTGGTTGCATGCATCTGTAGTCCTAGCTACTTCAGTCTGGGTGACCGAGCAAGACCCTGTCTTTATTTAAAAAGAAAGAAAGGAAGAAATCGTATGTGCATTATAACAGTTTTGCCACTCTTAAGATTTAGTGCAAGTATCTATGGTAGCACTTCCCAGTTGATGAAGAAATTGGGCATTAGATAATGAAGGTTTTGCAGAAGTAATTGAGTTTGAGGAATTTTCATAATATGGTATAGGAAAGGTGGTAGAGAAATTATCTCCTAAAATTAGGGAAAACATAAATACAAAATGATGGTAATAAAAAAATAAAAGTATTTGTAATGGTGCTTTAAAGCTTATAAAGTACCCTATCACCCTACTTAACCACGATGTTGTGAAAATTAAGTATTAATCCTATTTTTTAAATGTAGAAATGAAAACTGAGTGACTAATTAAATGCCTGAAATCACAGTGAACCATGAATCTCAAATTTGATCCTAGATTCTTCTGCTCATTCTGATATGTTGCTTAGTCCTGTTACAGTATTGTTGTAGCACATGGAAATGTATGGGACCAAGCATGGAAGCAGGAGAGTCTAGAGCAGAACTTCAGTGATGGTAAATTAAAATCTTCATCATCAGTATTTGAAGCCCAGATTGAAAATGAATAGTACTTAGGACAGACTACCAAATAAATGTGAGCCAGAAGATTTTTAATAGGGGGAAATTGAATGAAACATCTTACAGAAAGAGCTAAAAATGGCTGAGCACGGTGGCTCACATCTGTAATCCCAGCACTTTGGGAAGCCGAGGCAGATGGATCATGAGATCAGGAGTTCAAGACCAGCCTGGCCAACATGGTGAAACCTCATCTCTGCTAAAAATACAAAAATCAGCCCGGTGTGGTGGTGCATGCCTGTAATTTCAGCTGCTCAGGAGGCTGAGGCAGGAGAATTGCTTGAACCTAGGAGGCGGAGGCTGCAGTGAGACGAGATCATGCCACTGCACTCACCTGGGCGACAGAGTGACTCTGTCATGGGGGGGAAAAAAAAGAGCTAATAACAAGACACTTTCCAATCCCAGTCACTCTGGAGGGTATCTAACATAAAAGTGAAAAAAACTAGTTAAATGTTTTCCAGTGTTTGTCAAGTTTAGGAATAGATTAACTTGAAAAGTTGGGTAGATTTGTTTGAAGATCCTTTGCAATCATAGCAAAAAATAAAAAAATGTTGAAAGATTGGTATTGTAGAATGATGGGAGAAAGGTGATTACATTTTCCTTCCTATTTGTCTAGACCACTTAAAGTTTATATTGCTTTCTCACACAAGCCAAGATAAGAATACATTCTTTAAGAAATATAGGAGATTCTTCATATATCCATTCATAGATAGAATGTGGTTTTGAAAACATATGGGATATTATTTAAATATAGATCTATATAAAGATATACAGAAGATACTTTATAATTCCTTTTAAGAAAGGCATTTTTCAGGAAATGAAGTTGTCAGACTTTTTAATGCTGAGAAATAGGTGATGTGGGTTAAATGGAGTCTTTTTTTAAAAAAAATTTTCAAGACAGGGTCTCACTGTTTCCTAGTCTGGAGTTCAGTGGCTATTCACAGGTGTCATCATTGCATACTACAGCCCAAACTCTTGGGCTGAAGTGATCCTCCCAGTTCATCCTGAGTAGCTGGGACTACAGGTGCATACCACTGTACTTTGCTAGGAATCTTATAAGAACAGTTGTATGATCATGAGGTGTGTGAAGATAGATATTTATAGATATTTTTTGCCCTGGTGATTATTTCTTCTTGTAAAATAATCCTATTGATTTTTCCTTCTTGTAGAAACTTAAGGGCTTCAGATTAAACTTACTAGGAAAAATACTTTGGTTTTATTTTATGATGATTTATTAATGGCTTCAATATTAATAATGTATTAAAATTGCTCATATTTTCCACTTACCGAGTATTATTTCAAAATTTAAAGCCATGTAGATAGGTTATTATTTGGTGCTACATCTGCCGTTACTGCCGTTGGGTTCCAGCAGTTTGAAAAAGGATTTTTCAGAAATGGCTTTCACTTGTTACCCAGTGGCTTACGGCAGCAGTCCCCAACCTTTTTGGCACCTGGGACTGGTTTCATGCAAGACAGTTTTTCCATGGACTGGCAGGAAGGGGGTGTGTAGTGGGATGGTTTGGGGATGAAACTGTTCCACCTCATATCATCAGTCATTAGATTCTCATAAAGAGTGCACAACCTAGATTCCTTTCATGTGCAGTTCACAATAGGGTTTGCTCTCCTATGAGAATCTAATGCCCCCATTGATCTGACAGGAGACAGCGCAGGCAGTAATGCTTGCTAGCTCACCAGCCAGTGTGGCCCAGATCCTAACAGGTCATGAACCAGTAACCATCCATAGCTTGGGGTTTGGGAACCCCTGGCTTACAGGGTCTTTGGATGCTTGCTTGCCACAGGTATGTCACTTAAGCGGGTGTAATGAATGGCTGGTGTAATTTTGACTCAAAGTGAACAGTTCATTTTAATTGTGAAATGTGTAAATAAATAAATGAGATTTCCGCTGTCTTTAGTACTATATACATAAAACTAGAGGCTTTGCAAAATTACCAAGAGAAGATCCTGTTTGATGTATCTTTGGTTTAGCATGGGTGAAGCAGACATGTGAGATACAGAATGAATGGGAGGCCTTCATGCTCACTATGTGGAAGGTGGTAGTTGATCAGGATGGTCAGTTCCACTCCAGGCCATTGGTGGCACACTACCACTGTTGCCATAATTCTCAAAAGTCATTTTATGCGGAGCTCCTTCCTAGCAACCTCCCCCAAACACATAGCCCCATCCCTTCCAAGAACTAAGAAATTCTTAGCACTTACCACCATCTGGCATATATTTATTCATTTGTTTATTGATTACTTTCCTCCCATTAGTATGTAAGCTCTATGATAATAGGAATTTTGTCCACTATTGTATATTTCTAACTCCTAAGACATCATTGGCATATTATAGTATGCAGTTAGTACTAGAATAAATGAGATTTCTATTTGTTCTTACAGAAGGTTGCAGAGCTTCATGAAGATGGAATATAAAGATTCTCATTGTTCTAAGTGCTTTGGGACATGGAACGGAACTTGTGTTTTCTGAGTGAGGGAGACTCTGGCAAAGTCTAACTGCAATCCATTATTCCCTGTGAGTGGGCAGAATTGAAAAATTTTTAAGAGAAGATATGAAAAATCTTCTGGATTCCTATTTAGTTTTTAGATTTGGGCTTGACTATTAATGAATAACTTTAACCTACCTACAGGGAAGGTTTTCTTCCTTGTTAACCCTTACTTCTGTCTCCTGGATCTTAAGAGTGAAGAAATGGGCCTTGGTTTTGCTTACAAATCCATAAATTTATGCTGTCATATGAACACATGTGTAAGGCACTGTGTCACCCATTATGGAAGATACAAAGAGACAGAGGATTCCTGAGAATTTAACAAAGTTAAAAATGAATGTTATTGATTAAAACAAAAATGGCACATTATAGTTGAGACTGTGTGCTTGTTTTTTAAATGTGAAATGTTTTTGGACACAGGTGAAAAATTCTAATGTCTCTAACTCCCCAGATCTTAGATTGATTTTTCTGAGAAGAAATTTGTGAATTAATTGCATACAGATTTTCCTTGAGGTTAAGAAGTTAGATGAATTTCCCAGGGTGAAAAAGGAGCAGAGATGATTGTTAAAAAATGATCATGGGCAGGGTGGTGAGAAGACAAAAGTAGGCGGAGCAGAAGCATGTTTGTGTTTTAAGGAGGCTGAGAAAGAACCAGAATATAGCACTCACAAAAGGAAAATGCAAATATACTATGAATAGCTACTACTCGTAGTACATTAATTTCTTAGCTACATATAAACTTTTATTAGGGTGCTTATAACTAAGGTGATATATAATTTGTCATCCAAACTTGGATCACTTTTAAGAATGAAAGGATGTGCTATCTGAATGGGACACTGGGACAACAGGTGTGAACCAGGACTGTTCCAGCACAAAACCAGAACTGTTGGTCATTCCTAACTAATGACATACTTTTCTCCAGACTTAGTCCCAATTCCTTTAACCTCTCCAGATAATTTTTTTTTTCATTTATAGTACTCTAATCTGTACTTGCAGAGCTTCTCAGTCGTTGGTTTCTTTTTCCCAGTCTTGTTGGAATTAAAGAATTTTTCTGCCCCCACCCTGGACCGTTTGGGTTCACAGCATTGGTGGAGGTAAGTAGTACTCCTGATGTATTTTCAGTTGACTTTTATTTTGCTTAGGAAATGAGGTTTTTGTATATTTCTGATCCAATACTAGATGGCTTTTTTGAGAGTCCTGATTATATTTAACTGGACTAATAAATTATTAGTAAGTTCTTAGCACGTAATACAAAAGGTGTTTGTAATTTTTGTGTTTGCTCTTAAATTACTTGATACTTAATATGTTTTCTTTCCTATAGGTGGGGTTGTCATTATGAAATTTAAGATCTTCAAAGAAGAGAATGTAATTTATACCATGGATATGTTATTTTTTCATTTTGGAGCACTGTAATTTCTTTTGTTTTCTTATTAAGTTTAAATAAAATTTTTAATTATATTGTGATGAGTTTTTATTCCATTAAATAGCTTTTTATTTTTCATTTCTGATAAATTAAAAATTGACATGGAAGTAATAAATCTTTGAGGTGGTACTTTAACCAAAATATGATTTTCTTTATCCCTTACAATAATCCTTATTTGGAATCTGGATGGGCTTAAGGTGTCTAGGTTTGAAAAATCACCACTTCAGAATACTAGAATGCAATCCTAAACAATAAGGATGTGGTTTACAGATGAGCCTGAATGAATGTTTGTTCTTGTCCTATTGTTCCTCTGTAAGTTTGCCATCTAGTGGTAGGAATGCGGAATTTACCATAATGCCAAGGAAAAGCTCTAGGTTTACATTTTCTTATATTAAGAAGGCTTACGTAGTAATTTAAAACATTTTGATAATCAGAGGAAGCGGGGAGGAACAACTTACTTGAAAATACAAGTCAGTGGCAGTGAAGTCAGAGTATTCCAAGAGTCCATGTTTTTCCGTAGAGCATTTTCATGACTTAAACTTTCTACTTTTGTTCTAAGAGTTTTTCTATTTATGACATTAGTGGGTAGAGAGACAAATAATAAATAATTTTAAGAGACAGTAGGTTGGAGTGATTTGAAAAATATGTTTTGAGTGTTGATAAAAATTTTAGGGCAATTACATAATGACTCCATTTAAAACAATTCAGTTTGTACTTTTAAAATTAAAGTTTGGACCGTTCAGTAAATTTGGCTTTGGCTCAGTCATGACTTAAGAAGCTAAGTTTCAGACATGTATTAATATATAATATCTTAGGGGTTTGCTTTTTATGTACCCAGCTCTATCTGAATTCTTTCTTCTCTACATATTCCCTTTTCAGTTCCTCATCTTTCCTCTGCCACAGATAAAAAGGATGTCAGTCCTTTCTCTGCTAGAAAAATGTCTTTTTGAAAATACCTTCTATGTTCTATTCTTGAAGTAGAGGCTTTTTATTATTATTATTTTGCTATCTCTGAATCCTGTACATATAGATTACAACCACTACAATGTATTGTGAGGCTGTATCTTTACCTCCAAAGACCTCAGTTTAGTAGGGGAGCAATTTTGCATCTTTTCATAATCTCACTCTATTGGCAGGAGGAATATGGGGTGGTATAAACTTGAAAAAGCAATTATGCTACTCCCTAGATTGCTAACATATTTTTTTCCAAATTATTGCTGCACTAAAGCTTAGATTAATAAAATACTGTTGCTTTCTACAGGTGTCTTCTAAGTTACATTTCATATATTAATGTTAATTTAATAAACATTTAAGATGTATCCTGCTAGGTGCTGGGAATATGAGAATGAAGAAGACATGATACTCCCTTTAGTGAACTCTCTCATAGGAGAGACTGATATATGAGCTAGTAATTGTAATGAAGTGTGAAAGGTGCTGTAACTGGTATGATGAGTTAAGAGAGCATGAAATTGAAACCGGGGAAAATTTGCTTTCCCCTCCAAAATATCACTAGATCTTTTTGCTATCTCTGAATCCTGTACATACAGATTACAACCACTACAATGTATTGTGAGGCTGTATCTTTACCTCCAAAGACCTCAGTTTAGTAGGGGAGCAATTTTGCATCTTTTCAGCTTTGTGTATCTTGGTATTTGGCATCAGTAGGTAAAGCAGTCAGTTGTTGATTTGAATTGCATGCAGGTCATTTCTAGCAAAAGGGATAGCTCTGAAAGTGTGTGGCTCCATCCTCTGTCTCACTTTAAGCATTTTGGAATATGTATATACACAAACATGTATACACACATACTGTATATACCTGAATGTAAGGTAACCCCAAATATAAAGCAAGCCCACATTTTCCCAGTGAGACAGCCCCTCAAGTTTTATTTATTTTACCTTTGCGAATGTATAAATGTTAGGGATATAGATGAAGCAGTCAACCTTACAATATTGAAACTCAGTAGTTAGAATACATATGAAACTTTACTATAAGAGTAATCTGGCTGAGTGCAGTGGCTTACGCCTGTAGTAATTCCAGCACTTGGGCAGGCTGGGACAGGAGGATCCCTTGAGCCCAGGAGTTCAAGAGTAGCCTGGGCAACAAAGGGAGACCTTGTTTTTATACAAATAAATACATACATAAATTTGTAATTAATAGAAAAGTAATCTATGATTTAAAAATAGTTTCTTTTCCCCACTCATACATACCTTACCACATAACATTTGACTCATTTTACATTCATGTGTATCTTGTATATTTTGTGTTTAAAAAACAAAATGGTCATCCGGAGTCCCCTTTTTAAAGTTCTGTAACATCTTTCCTTTTGTGTAAGGCCTTTTAAATTTAAATTAAATTTAATTTAGACATTGTTTTACAGGCTGTCACCATCCATTCTTGTACATTAAGACAGTTTGTTTCATTCCTCATGTATATTTCTGATCTCTGCAACATAACTTTATTTTGTTGCTTTGTAAAGTGTTCTGAAGATACCCAACACAGTTATGCAATTATGTGATACGTGTATTTCCAGGAATACTTACATCTATGTTAAATTTTATATTTCTTCATAAGCACCTGAAACTAGCATTGATGGAGGTCTTTTCAGGTTATCTTCTTCGGAAAGAACTTCGTTAAAATAAAAGGATCAGACAATCAAATCTTCAAAACTATACATTTGTGAAGATTTATAGTTTTTTTTTTTGTTGAATAGTTTTTAGGGAGGGAAGGCACTTTCATTTTACATGGCAGTTTTACAAATAGTAGAATTATTTGTACATTTCTGGTCCTGGGAGGGTTGCCTTTTTTTAGGACACAGGATTTCACTGTGTTGCCCAGGCTGGAGTGCAGTGGCTGTTCATAGGCATGATTACAGCACATTACATCTTTAAACTCCTGGGCTCAAGCGATCCTCCTGTCAGCCTTCCAAGTAGCTGGGACTACAAGTGCATGTCACCATGTCCCACTCTATATTTTCTAATTTTTATGTGTGTGAATCTTAGCCCATTCATGTTTCTAAGAACACTGTGGCAGAAATAGCATATCTAGTTGTGCTAATACACTGCTTTTTTCCTACAACTGCAGCTTTTTTCTTTTTCTTTCTTTCTTTTAATTTTTTTTTTTTGAGATGGACTCTCTCTCACTCTGTTACCTAGACTAGAGTGCACTGGGATGATCTTGGCTTACCACAACCTCTGCCTCCCACGTTCAGATGATTCTCATGCCTCAGCCTCCCAAGTAGTTGGGATTACAGATGTGTCACCAACCAGATAATTTTTGTATTTTTCGTAGAGATGGGGTTTCGCCTTGTTGGCCAGACTGGTCTCAAACTCCTTACCTTAAGTGATCTACCCATCTCAGCCCCCAGTGTACTGGATTACAAGCATGAGCCGCTGCACCTGGCCTTTTTTTTTTCAAAAAAAGATAGGACTTTGACTTACTTTGAGCATGGGGTGTAGAGGTTCCTTAAGACTCATCTACCATTGAACTGGTGTTCAAAATATTGACCTGCTTCTAGCAGGTCAGATTCCTGGTTGACCTGCCAAATTCATAGTTACTTTACCATGCAACCCTTATTCTTTTTTTAAAAATGTTTTTGTGATGGAGTCTCACTCTGTCACCCAGGCTGGATTGCTATGGCTATGGCAATCTCAGCTCCCTTTAACCTCCACCTCCCAGGTTCAAGCAATTGTCCTGCCTCAGCCTCCCAAATAGCTGGGATTATAAAACATGTGCCACCAAGCCTGGCTGATTTTTGTATTTTTAGCAGAGATGGAGCTTCACCATATTGGCCAGGCTGGTCCCGAATTCCTGACCTCCACTGATCTACCTTCCTCAACCTTCCAAAGTGTTGGGATTACAGGCGTGAGACTCCATGCCTGGCCTAGCAACTCTTACTGTTGTACCACCTCTTCCTCACATCCTTAAAGAAATAAAGAATGTGTCGTGACTCTCCTTACTGCTGTTGATTATGATAATGTTCAAAAAGGTGTGGGATAAATTACAATACAGAATTGCTGTGTGCTATGGGACATTGAGAGGTACTGAGATAAGTTTATGGGAGTAACAGTGTTATAGTTCTTTTATACATTCTTTTTTACTAACCGTTCATATAGGACTTAGTTGCTGAGTCATTTTAGAAGTGTTTGATTCTTTATGCATCACCCTACATTTGGGCAAATACAGTATATATGAGAAAATATTACACATTTACACCTTTTTTTTTTTTTTAAGGCAGGGTCTTGCTCTGTTGCCCAGGCTGGAGTACAATGGCATAATCACAGTTCACTGTAACGTTAAACTCCTGGGCTCAAGCTATCTTCCTGCCTCAGCCTCCACTACAGCCACTAATTAAAAATATTTTGGCCAGGAACAGTGGCTCATGCTGGTAATCACAGCACTTTAGGAGGCGGAGGTGGGCAGATCGTGAGGTCAAGAGATCAATACCATCCTGGCTAGCATGGTGAAACCCCACCTCTACTAAAAATACAAAAATTAGCTGGATGTGGTGGTGTGCACCTGTTGTCTCAGCTACTCGGGAGGCTGAGGCAGGAGAATTGCTTGAACCCGGGAGGTGGAGGTTGCAGTGAGCTAAAATTGTGCCACTGCACTCCAGCTTGGCAACAGAGCAAGACTCCGTCTCAAAAATAAATAAATAAATGAAATTTAAAAATTTAGGAGATCCTATCTCAAAAAAATGTACAAAATTTAGGAGATCCTGTCTCAACAAAAAATTATTATTTTTGTTGTTGTTGAGATAGGATCTCCCTATGTTGCTTAGGGTGGTCTCAAACTCTTGGCCTCAAGCAGTCATCTTATCTCAGCCTCCCAGAGCACTGGGATTACCGGCATGAGCCACAATGCCCATCCCCTCACATAACAGTTTTAAAAAATGGAGTCATACTTTGTATTTTACTTTACTATGGTTTTTGACTTAATATATGGTGAACATTTTCCCCTGATAGCTTTTAAGTTTTGTACCCTTCATTTGTTGACCTCAGAGTATTTCATGGTCAGACTGTAATGTCATTTGATTAACTCTTTATTCTTGGACATGTAGATTGTGAATTAGGTTCCTTAGCTTTATTAGTATTGTTAAAAAAGCATCTGATTATCTTGTCAATCTCTGTCATTATACTGAGCATTTCATATTTTGTCTTTAAGAGTATTTTCCCAGTAATTAAAGTCCAATTAATATGTTGGTTAGATTTATTAAGGTGTAAGTCAGTCTTAAGAGCATAGTTTTGAGTTATTTCTATTGGAAGTTATATAAAAATACAACATTGTGTTTCTCACAGAAGACCCATAAACTTTACAGATAAAATCTTAATTTGGACCATATTTTATGATCCCTTTCACAAATAATTGGATTAAGAAGTAAGACTGTTCATTGTGTTTCCTAGACATTTGACACTTAGGACTAGGGCAAAGGTGCCTGTGTGTAACTTCAGTTAGCTTATGTCTAATTTCAACTTGCATACTTTTGAAATACTTAAAACATTTGCTACATGAAAAAAAAATTGCTGATACTTCATATAAAGGCTTCTTATCCTGTAGTATTTCTTGGCAAATATTCTTTTTGTTCCTACTCTCACCAAGGAAAGATTACAAAGATTGGATCAGTGAATCAAAATTTGATTAACCAGTTAATTTGCCTTCGAAATTAAGTGTATCTTCAATTTTCTAGATGACTGAAGAAATCAATCTTAGCTTGTAAAATTATGAGGGCAGTTGTAAAAAAAGGTGTCTTTCCCTTTTGAAAGGGATTACTAAATTTTATGTGTATTACTGTATTTGGCTAAATGATTGGGATGTGTTAACAAAACAAAAAACAAAAAAAAGTATTATTGGTTTAAGCCAGGCTTCTTTTTTAGAAAACTGTACTTGGGTATCTGTGGTTTTGATGTAGCCTAGTGAGTTCCTGTTTAGATGGGAACTTGAGACCTTTGCTTTTTAATGGTGCATGCCACCGTCTGGGTTGCCTGACTTGCCATAGAAATGAACCCTGAGTATCCTAATTTAAGTTTCTGAAGTTGATGAAGTCTGCCTGGGGAAATCTGTATAGGCTGAAGTTGATGAATTCTGCTTGGTGCGAAGACTCTGTAAAGACTTACAGTAGGAATATGACTGTAACATTAATGAAACCATTTGGTAACTGGTTGCTTCTAAATTTTTTGTACTTTGTTAAAGAAAAAAAAGACTTACCCAGAATATAAAAATAGTGTTTTGCATTTCTGTTTTTCTATTGTTTTTGTTTTTAATTGGTTTTTGATTTAGAACGTGTGTTAAATTGGCTGGTTGAGCATTCACTTGCTGTATGTTTTAATGGATCCTTATCCTTTGCAAAAATTTAATTCTAGTCATTAACCTGTCACTTAGCTCCTGTGACCTTGCCTATGTAAATACAATTAACATCAGCTTTATCTATGTAAGTCATTGTTTGTTGAAGCACATATGAAATAATAAAGTGACAGCATTTATGTTTATATGGTGGGTATTGATTCTTACTGCTTTCTCTACATGGAAAAGTGATTTTCATTTCCATGGTAGGCCTATTTTTAGGCCTGTTATCTTCATCTCCTTAAATTTTAGAAGTCTTCATAAATTTTCACTCATACCTCAAGCAAAGACCCTACCTGCCATATGGTAATTATGGTTGTGTGTGTGTGTGTGTGTGTGTGTAGTTGTGTAAAATTGTTAATGAATATTCAGGAAGGTACCTCAGTTTTTGTACTCTTGAGATAAATAATGAAAAGAAAATATGAGATCTGTTCCTCATTTTGGTAACTTTTTGGTTGGCAAGGGAAATTGTTACAGTTTTTGCTTTTTAAGTAATAGTATCTTCTAAATGGAGAGTGGGAAAAGCAGTAACTTTTGAGAGTCCCAGGATAAGTGTCACTTTTGTTTGGGGCAGTTTACTTTTGATTAGTCAGGTGGGAAGAATATTTTCCTTCCTGATTTGGAGCTCAAACTTGGAAGCATTTTCAGGGTACTATTATATTAGAAGCATTGTACAGATGAAAAATTACTGCATGGAGAAAAATGACTGGCTGAGTTAAATACTATGGGAAAGTATATACTGCTAGTTTTATTCAATATCCTCCACACCCCACTGGTAATACTTGTATAACTTTGGTTTTACATTTGGTCTATTCTAAATTCATAATCTCAATGTGAATTTTTCATTTTTCCTGTTTTATTATGTGTGAAGTATTTTTTTCTTTTTTTAGCTTCTGGAGTTATCCTTCAGAATAACTCTAGTTTTTCTGTGATCAATACTAAAGCATACTATAGTTTTTAGTAAGTATGATAGTAAAAACCTTGATTTGTTCGATCCTCTTTTAATTTGAAATTTGAAACTGCACATGTATTGGGCTCAGCTTTGATTGTCAACCTTTTGGGAATAGCAGGTTGTATAGATACTTGTAAGATGTTGATTTAGCTTATGTAAGGATACAATTTTGGATGCTTTAAAAAAAAATGTCCTGTTAAGAGTGCCCATATGCATACCAAAATGAATGTCTTAAAAAATATGACTGATCATTTGAGGCAGTATTCTGGGTCTTTGAGGATAGAACTGAGAACAAAAAAGTCCTCCCCACATGGAACTTAAAAACATTTTGAGAGAGAAAGACATTAAACAGATTATGATAAGTTCGATGGTAATAAATGCTTTGGAGAGAAATAAGCAGAGTAAGGGGGGTAATGAGGATTTAGAGATAGGGGAATGCGCAAGGCTTTGTTATTTTACGTAAATATTGAGGGAAGTTTAATGTGGTAACACTTGAGCAAATATCTATAGGAAGGAAGTGAAGGGAGCAAGCAGCATAGGTATTTAGGAGAAGAGAATTCTAGGCAGAAGGAACAGCAGTACCAAACACCTGAGATAAGAGTACTTGGCATATGGGAGGCATTGCAAAGAAGATGACAGTGATGCAGTGGGGAGAAGAAAGATATATATACACACACACATTGAACATATACTAGATTTCAGTTTCAACGACAGTATTTTAAACACACACACAATTTAATACTATATAATGCATGGTGTGTGTGTGTGTATATTTATATATATATACTGTGTGTGTGTGTTTAAAATATTGTCATTGAAACAGAAATCTAGTATAATGTTCAGTGCCATAGGCCAATTATAAAGTTCTGTGAAGATCTAGAGATTAAATTGCGTTTTTTACTCTCAGAAACTGAAGCATGCATATCCAAGTTGGATTTACTGTTTGATTTTTGTTGCAAATAGTCTGAATTGTGAAAGCTTTGTGTCATTCAGCTGTTCCATGGGTACTCTGTTTGAATGTTTTGTTCTTTGTTCTTTAAGCAGTATTGGCCAGGGTAGCAGCTTATCTAAAAAGCATGTATTTATCAAATGTTAACTTGTGTAATAATGGGACTTACTAAACGAAACATTTTAAGTAAATAAATGTTTGTAGTTACACTGTCATTTCTTGCTAGCAATCAAGGCCAAGTTAGGTCATTTGAATTCATATTTAATCATTATACACTGAAGATTAAAAGTGAACAGATCACTAATGAATTATGAATAACTTTTTTCCCTTTTTTGAAGTTATAGCTGAGACATTTATATGTTACATTTTATATGTATTTTAAAAGTAAAATAACTCATTTATTGATTTTATCCTCTATCATATCTCTAAATTAAACTATATTATATTGTATTATATTTATTATTTTTTTTTTATTGAGGCAGAGTCTCACTCTGTCACCCAGGCTGTAGTGTAGTGGCATGATGTCAGCTCACTACAACCTCTACCTCCCGGGTTCAAGCAGTTTTCCTGCCTCAGCCTTCTGAGTAGCTGGGATTATTGGCGCTCACCACCATGTGTAGCTAATTTTTTTGGTATTAGTAGAGATGGGATTTTACCATGTTGGCTAGGCTGGTCTCGAACTCCTGACTTCAGGTGATCTGCCCTCCTCGGCCTCCCAAAGTGGTGAGATTACAGGCAGGAGCCACTGTGCCTGGGCTATTTTATGTTTTCTTCATCGAGTTTGCCAGTACATAAACAGATTGTAGGTGAAATTGAGTTTTATTAAGAATTTTTTTTCAGTTTTGTTTTCAGTATTAGCTAGTTATCAACTGATCTCAGCTAATTCAGTAGAACTAAAGGGAGAGAAGTAAGACAAATATTTTATATGAACAGACTGAGATCCAGCTCAGTTACAGACCAAATGTCTGCCCTGTTATCTTACTGTTGCAAAGAGCATTCTAGGGTGGATATTCATAAAGGTAGTTTTCATGTTGTTCATTCTTCTATATGGATGATTTCTTTAAGCTTTATTTAAAGAAAAATGTTAAATTTAATTTTAAAG